CGTCTCCTGTTATCATACATAATCCATTTTTTCATCACAGGTGAAAATTCGGTCCAAAAACGGGTCGTTTCTGTTGCGCAAAAGCAGTGAAGAAGAAACCTCGAGACGTGCCAATTTCTGCCGGTCACTCAAATTGTGGGGCACCCACTTGTCGAGTTTTTTCACCTTCCCAATGCGTTTCAGACCATCCGCAACAGTGGATTTGCCAACGCCTAGCTTTTCTGCAATCTCTCGAACTGTTTGGGATGGGTCAGCCTCCAACCTTCAAATCCTCGTCAGGTATTGCTTTAGGTCGACCGCTACGAGGTTCATCTTCAAGGCTGAAATCTCCAGAACGAAATTTGTCGAACCATTGTCGCACGGTGCTTTCTCCAACACTATTGGGCCCCCACACCTGGTTAATTTGTCGAGCTGTCTCGACTGCGGATTGACCCAATTTGTAGTTGAAGAAAAATATCGTCCGAAGTTGCTCTTTTGACATGCTTCAAAAAGTCTTGGGAAAAGGGGTTTATCAAGCAATGGTGAAACGGCAATTATACCATCAGATAGCGCAAAGAATTCTCTTCAGGATGTACTACTGAGACGCAAGGGAGAATGAGTTTTTAATCAGCAATGAATGTACAAAAAATAGTAACACAAAACGCTGAGAACTTTCCGGACAGCCTAATAATTTCAAGCTCAACAAACTTTAAGACCATATCAAAAAGTGTCCTAAATGAGACAAGGGCCCTCAAATTTCAACAACAGGGAACGCGTGTCGGAGTCTGACGAAAATCAAGTGAAAACAAAATCGGTTCTTTATTCCCAGTTTCTCGGCCTTTTTTTTGGCGGGCTCTTTTTTCCCCGCTCATGTGAGTCGATAGAGAATGGCGGTCTGTGATCGCGTCCAACCACTGGATTTAAGAAAGGCACCTGAATTGAAGTCAATATCTACAAAAATGTTCATTATTCTCTATCATCTCTTCTGTAGAGCACGACCCCTATACTAAAAGAAAGGTGTTCTGCATACTAATAAGAACATACCTCTTGGTGAATAACCCTGGGAAAAAGAAAAACACTCATATGTACATGTTTATTTATTTGTCTACTTGTATTTATGTGTATTCATCTGCAGGTTGTGGTAAAAACAGCTGATCCGACTTAATTGCTGACCGGTGCGGCCGCTTGTGGGCGTTTTGGTTCCAGCGGAAATTACTGTGAAGATGTGAAGCCTCACAGAGAGGCAAACAAATCGTCTTTCTATTGGCACTGCGTAGTGTCTGGTCAAGCGCACGACATCCATCTACTATGTTGTTACTCATTATGACATGTATGGCAATACATTCGTTTCGGCATACTGACTCAAATCATCGACTTCCTTACGTAGCATCTTCAGCATCATGTGGGTGTTTAGCTGCGCGGAGGAATCATTGCCCTCAAACTTCTCTTGGAGAGCCCGACTTTTGCTTCGAGTCCTGCTTGTTTGACAGATCTAGGCAGTGGCTTAACCACGGATGGTCTAAAACCATCCAGTTCCGAAAATTACAGATGCCAAAGCAATTCATCGTCGACTGCTCATCATTGATATTTTAAGCTGAATTGGGTAAAAGGATCTCCGAACTGCCCTCCATTCGGATCATTAGATACAATCACGTCGGGTGAGGTCGGCGCAGCGAACTTTTGAGCATTCAAACCCGTTGTAGTGAACAGCGGAAAATTTCTGCACTGGTCTTGGCGTTCGAATATCTGTCCATGGATTTCTTCTGCTTATGGCTCCTTGCTTGTCTTTTCGGGCTGAAAACATCATTCAGCCTCTAGTCGAACTGTATGGACTACGCTGCTAACCTTGTGCTTACACAATTGAATTTGGAAGTCACGTGATAGTCCTCGTTGTCAGTATAGAACCGCTTGAACTGCTGGATTACTGCAGTGTTCGAAGTCACGCTTGACGATGTTGTGTCCTGTTGCGGGAGCTGAATCTTATTTTTCTAAGGCTGCTTCTACAACTGCTCTTACTTGACCTACCACTTAGTTTGTTTGCGTCTAGCAAAAGCGTTAACTCGCACGTGCCGCTGTCTTCGTGATCCGTTTACGGTAAGATTTCTGTTACTTACACAAGATCAGGGTAATCTATCGAGCTAAATGGGTGTGATGGGTCATGGAGACAGATCAGTTCGCTAGGTTCTGTTTCCAGAGCTCTCGAATCACGGTTGGAAAGGATCTCGCAGAATAACGCACTTCCTCCTTCTCTGGAGGTATCTCATTCTTGTATATGGGAGTGAGAAGCTCTTCTTTACTCTCAAGTATTTAATGGCTACATTTCGGCCCTTCCCTAAGCGCTTCTTTAGGTCACTGAATTAAAAAATAATAGGTTGATCAAAAAGTTTTGATAGGATTTTTTTGAAAGTTCCAGTACCGATTCTTGATCGATACCAATGATCTACTAGGGGAGGGCAAAAAAAAGACACTTATTCCTTTACTTTTGAATCGCTACAAGTTGCACCTTAGTAAATTCTGATCGGACATTTTATACCATGGACACCATATGAAGAGCACATTAACCCATTGCGTACCGCAGTGCTTTTACGCGACGCGATTTCTGGCGTGCTGAGTATAAAATCATAAGATTATGAGCATAAAATCATAAGACTCAGTTATGTCTCTGACGATTGATCCGCCTGCCGCTTCAATTCCTGCATCTGGTGGAAAGTCTGCACATACGTTGGCGAATGCTGGAGAGGCCAAGGTGATCTTCAAGGTGAAATGCTCGAACAACAACGACTATCGTCTGAAACCCGTGTTCGGATGTGTGGATCCAGCTGGTAATGCACCGCTTGAAATTACTCGTACGGCCGGTGCACCGAAAGAGGATAAGCTGGTCATCCAATGGGCCCCAGCGCCGGCAGATGCAACGGATGCTCAGGCTGCTTTCCCATCAGTTCCGCCTGATCAAATCCAGTCGCTCACCGTGCCACTGTCTGCCACGTAGACATCAAGTCATAGAGAAATGTGTTGTCAGTCGGTGCACTGTGAATAATGAACATTTTTATCTTCCTACTAATATAATCGGCTATGTCCGTGTGTGTGTGTGTCTGTCTGGTCGTGTGTCTGTCTGTGTTTGTCACGAAATTCATAGCACCTGAAGCAGAGCTCGGCGGGAATGGACCATGGTGGGGATGGATAGAGCATGGGACAAAACCTAAATAGCACCCATGACCCATGCTAAGCCCCGCCCACTGTGGGCGGGGCGTGCGTCCAAAGTTAGCGATGCCACTTTAAAAAGTCATAACTCGGTTACAGAGCAGCCCCGAGATGAGGAAACAGTGCAGTAAGGTTAACAAAGGCCTGACTGACCAAATGGAGGAGAGAGACCCGAAATGGGCGGGGCGTACTTGAGATGGGCGGTGCTTCCCACAAAGGTCAATAACTCGGTCCCCGAAAATGTTTAGAGGTCGCAGAAAACTCCATGACGAAGATGAACATCTTTCAAGACTCCACCATGTTTGCGGAGTACTAAGGCCCGCGCCCACAAGTTGGGCGGGACGTGCATTTGAACCCGAGGTACCATTGTAAAAAACCGTAATTTGGTGCTAAAGCACTACAGATGGCGCAAAAAAGTGGATTATGGCCCCCAAGTGATCACATGCAGGAATGTGCGAGGCACTCCCGCTGTGGGCGGAGCGTGCACCAAAGTGGGTGGAGCCAAATTTAAAAAATTCGCAAAACGCTTCCAGAGCACTCCAGATTCCAGGAAAAAGTCGTTTAAGATCAGCGAGTTGTTATTAGTTGAGAACCGCGAGGCATACATTGTGGGCGGGGCATGCCCCGAGGTGGGTGGAGCCAAACTTAAAAAAATTCGCAAAACAGTTCCAGAGCGCTCCAGATTCCAGGAAAAAGTCGTTCAAGGTCATCGAGGGATCATAAGTTGAGAAGCGTGAGGCATTCGTTGTGGGCGGAGCCTGTCCCAAGGTGGGTGGAGCCAAACTTAAAAAATCGCAAACGCTTCCGCCAAGCACTCCAGACACCGAGAAAAGGTAGTTTAAGGTCATCGAGGGATCATAAGTTGAAAGCGTGAGGCATTCGTTGTGGGCGGAGCCTGTCCCAAGGTAAGCTGGAGCCAAACTTAAAAAATTCGCAAAAACAGTTCCGAGCGCGCTCCATCAGATTCCAGAAAAGTCGTTCAAGGTCATGAGAGATATAGTTGAGAAGGTGAGATTGTTGTGGGGAGCCTGTCCCGAGTGGGTGGAGCGCAAATTTAAAAATTCGCAAAAAACGCTTCCCAGAGCACTCTCAGATTCCAGAAAAGTCGTTTAAGATCACGATGTTGTTATAGTTGAGACGGAGGCATTCGTTGTGGGCGGCAGCGCTGTCCCAAGTGTGGTGGAGGCCAAACTTAAAAAAAATCGCCAGAAAACAGTTCCGCATGAGCTGCTTCCAGATTCCACAAACACATTTAGATCAGCGAGTTTATTATTAGTTGGAGAAGCGCAGGGCCTTCGTTGGGGCGGCCCCGGTCCAGCCTGGGTGACGCCAACTTATTCGCAAAACGCTTCCAGAGCACTCTAGACACCGGGAAAAAGTAGTTTAAGGTCATCGAGGGGTCATTGGTTGAGAAGCGCGGGGCATACGTTGTGGGCGGGGCGTGCCCCGAGGTGGGTGGAGTCAAATTTAAAAAATTCGCAAAACGGTTCCAAAGCACTTCAGATCCCAGGAAAAAGTCGTTTAAGATCAGCGAGTTGTTATTAGTTCAGAAGCGCGAGGCATACATTGCGGGCGGGGCATGCCCCGAGGTGGGTGGAGTCAAATTTAAAAAATTCCTTCCAGAGCACTCCAGACACTGGGAAGAAGTAGTTTGAGATCAGCGAGGGGTCACCGGCTCACAAGTGTCAGGCATACCTGTCGTGTGTGGAGCGTGCGTCAATGTGAGCGGGACCAGCCTTAAAAACTCCTCAATCGGTTCTAGAGCACTCCAATCACTCCAGACTCTCTATGTGATACGGCCGGCTTTGCGGGGCGTCGCGCTTACCTGCATTTGTAGATCAATAGCTCGCTATATACCCGGGGCTTTCTCATCATCTGCTCCAACATTCATTAGCGCTCGCGTGCACCACGTCATTCACTAATAGTGTTGAAAGTAGCAGGTATGATGCTATTGGTCAAGGAATGTTGACCACCTGTTCAGGTTAAAGAAAAGCCTGATATTAGGTGGCTAATGAAATGAGTGGAATAACGGGCCAAGCGGATGTGGTAGACCCGCGGAGCCGGCCTGCTCGACGAAGCCGTGCTGTATCTCAGAAGGAGGCGCGCCGGTGTCAGCCCGGCGAAGCCGGCTGGTATGCATATAACATAAAAACATTGTACACACATCGTATCGTGCATCACCTTTATATGTTAACGTATGCTAAAGGGGATGCAATTTTGTTACGTGATAAAAGTGTAAAGCCGAAAAATGCGAAATTAGCCAAAAAAGCTTGGTAAAATCCTACTAATATAATCGGCTATGTCCGTGTTGGTGGTGTGTGTCTGTCTGTCTGTCACGAAATTCATAGCACCTGAAGAAGAGCTTGGCGGGGTCGGGTCAGGGTGGGGATGGATAGAGCATGGGACAAAACCTAAATAGCACCCATGACCCATGGTAAGCCCCGCCCACAGTGGGCGGGGCGTGCGTCTAAATTTAGCGATGTCACTGAAAAAGTCATAACTCGGTTCCAGAGCAGTCCCGAGATGAGGAAACAGTGCAGTAAAGTTAACAAAGGCCTGACCGACCAAACAGAGGAGATACACTTGAAATGGGCGGGGCGTACTTGAGATGGGCGGCGTTTCCCGTGTCACTGAAAAATCCCCACAAGGCTACAAAGCAGTTCGGAGACTGGAAAAAGTGGATTTAGGTTAGCACTGGGTTGGCACGCCAGAATGGAGGAGGAGACACCCGAAATGGGCGGGGCGTACTTGAGATGGGCGGCGCTTCCCACAAAGGTGGTCCTCGAAAATATTTGGGGATCGCAGAAAAGTCCATGACGAAGATTAACGTCTGGCAAGAGTCCATAACGTCTGGCAAGAGTCCACCATGTTTACGGCGTGCTGAGGCCCGCCTACAGTGGGCGGGGCGTGCATTTGAGCACGAGGAACAGTATAAAAGTCGTAGTTTGGTCCTAAAGCACTGCAGATGGTGCCAAAATGTGGATTATGGTCCCCAAGTGATCAAATGTAAGGATGTGCGAGGCACTCCCGTTGTGGGCGGAGCCTGCACCGAGGTGGGCGGAGCCTGCTCCGGGGTGGGCGGAGCCTGCACCGGGGTGGGTGGAGCCAAATTTAAAAAATTCGCAAAACGGTTCCAGAGCACTCCAGACACTGGGAAAAAGTAGTTTAAGATCAGCGAGGGTTATTAGTTGAGAAGCGCGAGGCATACATTGTGGGCGGGGCGTGCCCAGAGGTGGGTGGAGCCAAATTTAAAAAATTCGCAAAACGGTTCCAGAGCACTCCAGACACCGGGAAAAGCGGTTTAAGATCATTGAGGGGTCACCGGTTCACAAGTGCCTGTCGGGTGTGGAGCGTGCGTCAAGGTGAGCGGGACCAGCCTTAAAAACTCCTCAAGCGGTTCCAGAGCACTCCAGGCCTCTATGTGATACGGCCCGGCTTTGCGGGGCGTCGCGCTTACCTGCATTCGTATGATCAAATGCTCGACTAATACCCGGCTTTTCTCTCATCTGTCCACTTGATCAACGCTCCTTACCACCACTCCATACACCGTAATAGTGTTGAAAGGAGCAGGTATGATGCTATTGGTCAAAGAATGTTGACCACCTGTTCAGGTAAAAGAAAAGCCTGATACTAGGCGGCTAATGAAATGTGTGGAAGAAGGTAAGCGCGGCGGAGCCGCGCCCGCTCGACGAAGCCGTGCTGTATCTCAGAAGGAGGCGCGCCGGTGTCAGCCGGCGAAGCCGGCTGGTTGAGTAGAATCGGAAAAGTGACGCAGTATGCTTAAAAGCTGTTCACTCACACCATTTTACAATTTTTCAGTCGTGTACTAAGCAGGATTTCGGTTTTAATGGTAAAGGAGAGTTAATTAAAAAATGTAATAGTTGAGGTATTACTCGAAAAATGCCAGCAACTTAGCCTTATTCAATCCCGCAGTTTCCCCCATATATTTTGTCCCAGACGACTTCAGGAATATACCGACTCTTTTCCAGTCATCTAACAATGCTAAATGAGTTCACACTAAGAGTGCTTCACCATGTGCAGCACGCGGTACGCAATGGGTTAATACTATCATGATACTCCGCCACAGCCTTCTGGAGGAGCGCCATCGAGAGATTCTGCCACGCGACCGTGAGTGGTACCTGAGTTCAGCGAGATCGTTGATTTCTCCGCCACTGTAGACCACCCTATTGAACTCCGCCCAAACCAGGTAGAGGGGTTTAGTTCAGGTGACCTGCTTAGATATTCCATCTTCTTCAGGTACTCAACGCCCTTCCATTCCAAGTAGGCGAGAGTTTTTCTCCATGTGGTGGCACCCAATGCTGTAGCAGTACAAAGTTTCCAAGAAGGTACGGGCGACGACATGTGGGGAGGATATTCTTCTCGAGTTGCTCGATGTAACCGCCAGCGCTCACCTTCAGTCCGGGTCCACGAAGAAAATATCGGTCTTTCCATTCCAGGTACGTCCGGTCCATACCATCAACCCGCGCCTTGGCGACTGCGGTGAAGATGATGTCCTAGACCGTAGCGACGTTGTCGGAGCTGCTCGATGTTGGAGGTCTTCCAGATCGAGAGTACTGGTCTCCAGGTAGCTATCCATGGGTGACTCCATACTAGAAGTTTCTGTTTGGAGGTGACATGAATTCCAAAGGTCTTCTCCAGTCAGGCTGCGACTGGAGATGACTTCATATTTTGGTGTACATGAAGGTGATGGGCGAGAGCCAGCTCCTGCTTATAGAGGAACATCTTGGGTATCTTCCGCCCTGGTACTCGTATCCACGTCCTCTGGGC